GACTACGTTCTGTAGGTACTGGATGCGTAACGATGTCGTTCATCCGTACTGCGTGGAGTGCTTCGTTAGTAGTATGCGTGTAGCCCATGGTAAATCATCGCATTTGCAAGCCATCGCGCTAGCACTCGTCTAGACATGTACCACGAGCCCCAATCTCTGCAGAGAAGCTGCGTCTTAATATTCTATGTGCAGACTGACGGCAGTCATTTTTGCTTGTAGAGTAGTGTAAGAGTAAAGATCTACGAGTAACTCACCTCAGGTATACTCGTCGTCCATCATTTCTTGTTTCTCTTCTTTCCGCAAGTTAAACGTTATGTATTTGTCAGTAAGTTTGAACTCATGCGTGTTGCTGTGCTTTCCTCTCATTGTGAGGGGGGGGGGTTTGTGGCTTGTCTCTTCTTTGTTCTCCCCTTATAAGCAGCTGGTAGGCCCCCACTCACACACACACACACCCACCCACTCACACACACACTCACTCACACACACACTCACACACACACTCACACACACACACACACACACACACACACACACACACACACACACACACACACACACACACACACACATACACACACATACACACACATACACACACATACACACACACACACACACACACACACACACACACACACACACACACACACACTCACACACCGTAGATCGCGCGTCTCCAAAATCCTTCACGCGAAATGCCTCTATTCGCTGCGAACTGCGTAAGATTTCCACGAATTTTCCCAAGTAAACATGGCGAAGCACTCCAAGCAAACATGGCTGCTGCTGTGTTGCCACACGACCAGCTGGTTAACAGCGCAGGTCGACGGAAGCGACGCACCCCAACAACGACGCCGACAATCACACCAGCAGCAGCGGACTGCCAGCACGAAAGCGGAGCGCACACCCAGCACCCGATACCCACGTGCATGTGATGGTCAAGCGCTCCTTCTTGCAGCCCGTGTCGGCCACATGCTATGATGCGTCGTGCAGCCGCCCTCGCCAACAGCCGCAGCTCACGGTCTCCGGCTGCACCTCCATCGACCCCATCCCGCCTCTTTGACGGCGCTTTCGCCGACCCGTTGCATCTGCACTGCTGGTACCCCTGCGCGCGCAGCACAACCACCATCGTCAACATCATCAGCAGCATCAACCCATCGCCGCTGGGCGAACCGTCACCACCCTCTGGCCGCGGCCACTGTCGTCATTCTACCAGCTGCCACCGGACATGATGGAGGCGAAGCGGTTTGGTGGGTATCTTGACATCTTGATGTGTCGATTCGAACATCGCACCGTCCCCCCCCCTTCTCAAATAACAGCGACGGAGGCAGCAACGGCGCACCCGGCAGAGAAGCGAACAGCTGAGGCACAGCGCGACAATATGGTGCCAGCACACGTCGCCGTGTACAGCCCTGCAGCGTGCGTTTGTACGTGTGTACTTGTGTGAGTGTATGTCTGTGTGTGAGTGTGTGTGTGTGCGCGCGTGTGTGCTTTCCTGTTTTGTTTTTGGTTTGCTACGACGCGATGTCGTACGACCGCTGTGACTTTGAACCGTGCTCATTCTGCACTCACCACCACCGTGCATGCATGTACACACACACACACACACACACGCGCGCGCGCGCACACACGCACACACACACACACACAACACACAACACACAACACAGGCCGCTGCTGGCGATGCTGGCGACACCAACGACGGCAACAACAACGACAACAACATCAACAGCGTCAATGACGACGGCAACAGCGATAACGATGGCTGGAACCAACACCCACTCGAGCGCAGCCCGATGATTGGTGCGCATGCGAGCGCCGTTTCCCTCATGTGCCTGTGTCTGTGGTATTGTGACACCGAGTGCGAGTTTGAGGTTGGCATTGTGTACACGCGGGTGCATGCTTTGCACGTGTACATCGTTGTGTGTGCGTGGTTACGGGCGCGTGTGCGTATGTGTGCGTGCGTGCAGGTGTTTCATGTGCGTGAGCGCATGTTGCTTGTCCTCGTCATCGGGTGTGAGTAGCTCACCTGTCTCTGTTACACATTGCAGGGGTGCTGTGGAGACGTTCATGGTGATGATCAACTCCATCATGGGCCGCGACAGCCGGCGCTCTTTGCTCCACGTCATCGTGAACAAGCGGTGCGTACACCTGCCACATTGTGCTCACATGCTGTGCTGTTTGACCTTCACACACATACACACACACACACACACACACGCACACACACACACACACACGCACGCACGCACGCACGCACGCACACACCCACACACGCACACACACAGACATCCACACACGCACACACGCACACGTCCCTTACTGCTGCAAACCACAATCATCGCTGTCGTGTGTTCTGTTGTACCAGGCCCATCGGGTGGCTGCTGTCGCTATTCCCTTTTCCAACAGCAGAATCGTACATACACAGCTGCACTCATCCAGGATCGAGCGGGACCGACCGCGGTGCCGCCACCACACATACAGGTGGGGCGTGTGGCTGTGAGTGATCTGGTGGCTCTTGCACTTCCGACTAATGTGCTTGCTCTGGCCATGCCTGTTTATGCACGTGTGTCGCCTCCCACCTATGTGTTTTGCACACACACACAACACACAGACACAACACACACACATGCACATACACACATACACACACACACACATACACACATACACTCAGCGGTGCTCAGCACTCAGGAACAGATTAGGATATCCTGGACCAGCTGCACCGAGAGCATGCACAGCGCCTGACGCGCGCAGATGCTATCAAACGAATGGTGCAGGAACGACAAGGACAGCAGCCGCAGCAGCAGCCATCACCACCACCAGCAGCAGCAATAGGAACAGCCACCGCAAGAGATGCCATTTCTCGCCCAAACTCTCTCTGCATCTCCTGCACACCCCGTTGATGACCTTACACCTGCGATCATGCGCATCATTACTGACTGGACAGCCAGCAAAAAGCACAACCACTCAAGCCTCCACAGCTCTCACACACACGCGCACACACATGTGGAGCCAACCACAACAGCCCCAGCTGTCGCTGCGGCGCCAGCTACCGCTCAACTGAGGCTGTCGATTGGAGTGAGTGGTTGACTATCTGGAGGAACTACTGGCTTTGGATGCACCCCCCCCCCCATCGCGGCCGACGCTGAAGGCGATATTTGATTGACGCCCTGTCCCTGATCGATGCCCTGTCTCTTTGCTGTCACTGTTCTCGTTGCCGTCACGGTTGTCGTGCGCGTGTCCATTGTTCCCAACCAATACAACGCCCAACAGTGCACAGCCCCCGAACAAGATCAACATATCCCCTCAACAGGGAGGGTTCATGTCACAAGCCCCCAGACCACCAAGCAGATTTTTCCTCGCAATGAAGCCGATATCATCGGGAACCCGAGAACATCCTGCTCTCCGCAACACCCTTGCAAATACACGATACTTGGCTTCATCTTCTGTTGTGAGTAAAAAACGAACAGCAACAGCAGCAGGCTCAGCGAGCGACAGCATGAAGTGGCGCCGAAACCCTGACCACTTGCGTCTTGCGGTAATCGGTGTCGAATTTCGTTGAGCATCGTTAGTAAATGTTCTGAACCTGCATGATTGAATGGACCGAGCTGCAAAAAACCGACAACACCAATACAACCGGCCCTGATGGCACACCCCACTTGGAATTCTACTTTATTTTTATTTTTTGTTGGCCAAAAATCAACCCCCTCCTCCTCCTCAACCAAAAACCGACAACGACGACACGGCACACGCACAAAGCAAACAAAACTGGTAAGCAACAAGCAACAAGCCAGCAGGCGCGAAGTACTCCACTCGCCAGCCTTGTGCCGTGTGTGCGTTCTTGACCTGACCACCGTCACCACCATCGTCCATTGCTGCCATTGCTGCTCCCAATCGTCTCATTCCTCCGTCCCTGTGCTCCTTTGCTGGTGCTGTGTTCCTTCCACCACCACCACCACCACTCCGGTTGAATAGACCATCCCCCCCAAGCAAAGGTTGGTTGATTGGCCGTGGCGTTGTTCACGTACGCGTGCACCACCATCACCGCACTGCAAGTTCTTTTTGTTTGTGTGTGTTGTCTGTCTCGCTCGTTGCCACCGTCAGCGTCGCTGTTGTCATGCATCGCAGCCGCTGCATGCATGGCTTGTATGTATGTATGTATGTGCGTGTGGTGTAGTGTGGTGTGGTGTTGTGGTGTGTTCCAGCGAAGGCGATCATGTGATCGATCGATCAATCGATCGCTTCACTCCACCACACAGCATCGCTTCACAGTGTCCATCATCGTCGCCATACCACATGACCACAGCTCGCTCACGTCTCGTCTGGTCCTGAACTGCATGACGCACGCACCATGCACGCGCACACATGCACAGAACACACACAAATACACACACACGGATAGACGCACACCATGACATCAATCAATGTTGATCAGATTATCCTCAAGCTCCTCGAAGTTCGAGGCAGCCGCCCCGGCAAGACCGGTACGTCCACCGTTTGTGTTGTCCCCTTTCGTATCTGAACATGCCCGTGTGTGAATGCACTGTGCATCATCATTGTACCGCGTGTGCTGCCATGAGCTTTCACCTGCCTGCCTGACTCCCATTCCGCACGACTAAGAACAAAACCAAAACGCGCTGCTCACGCACGTTTCGGTGTTGCGCCGTCTTTTCCACGTCCATGTGTGTGTGTGTGTGTGTGTGTGTGTGTGTGTGTGTTCGACAGTTGATCTCACCGAGGCTGAGATTCGCGGCCTGTGCCTCAAGTCCCGAGAGGTGTTCCTGAGCCAGCCCATCCTGCTCGAGCTCGAGGCGCCACTGCGCATCTGCGGTGACACACACGGCCAGTACTACGATCTCCTGCGTATGTTCGAGTACGGCGGCTTCCCTCCCGAGTCAAACTACCTCTTCCTCGGTGACTATGTCGACCGTGGCAAGCAGGTGCGTCCCGTTGTTGTTGTTGTTGTCAATGGTGCCAGGATTTCGTGTGTTTGCCTGTCTGTGAGCGCTGGCGTGTTTGCTTCCCTCCCCACAACCACAAGCGTGCTTTGTTCACAGCTCTGTTGCTGCTGTTGTCATCGTCGCTGTTGCTGTGATCGTCGCTGCTGCTTTGGCCACGTGTGCGTGTGTGTGTGCATGCGCGCTCACCGTGTCTTTCCACTCACCGTGCCTTTCCACTCAACATGTGTGCTTGTGCGTCACCTGTAGTCTCTGGAGACCATCTGCTTGCTGCTTGCCTACAAAATCAAGTTCCCGGAGAACTTCTTCCTTCTCCGCGGCAACCACGAGTGCGCGTCCATCAACCGCATCTACGGCTTCTACGACGAATGTGCGTTGTGCGTGTGTGTGTGCGCGCGGCCCGTCTCTTTGTTTCAGAGCAATGAATTTGCGTGTGCTTTGCTGTTTTGTTTTTGTCTGGGGCAACACGTTTTCTGAAAGTGTGTGTTCACGTCGTGCATGTTCTCTTGTGAATCATCCCAAATTCCTTGATCTTACTTGGTCAAACTTGCGCTGACATCATCACCCTCCTCCGTCTCATTTGCCTTTTGCTACCCCCTCCTTTGTCACTCCGTTCATCATCCCAGGCAAGCGGCGGTACAACATCAAGCTGTGGAAGACGTTTACGGACTGCTTCAACTGCCTGCCTGTTGCGGCCATCATTGACGAGAAGATCTTCTGCTGCCACGGCGGCCTCTCCCCCGACCTGCAGTCGATGGAGCAGATTCGCCGCATCATGCGCCCAACAGACGTCCCCGACACAGGCCTGCTGTGCGATCTCCTGTGGGCAGACCCCGACAAGGACACACAGGGCTGGGGCGAGAACGACCGCGGTGTCTCGTTCACCTTTGGCGCTGAGGTTGTGGAGAAGTTCTTGCACAAGCACGACATGGACCTCATTTGCCGCGCGCACCAGGTTGTCGAGGACGGTTATGAGTTCTTTGCCAAGCGCCAGCTCGTCACCATCTTCAGCGCGCCAAACTACTGCGGTGCGTGCTCCAAGTTAAAAAATAAAAGGGGGGGGGTATGGGATTGAGGTGGGGAGGCGAACGCGCGAGGTTGAGAAGAGGGGGGGGGGGAAGCAGAGTGTTTGACATGAGTTCGACTTTGATTGTCTGCTTGTTATCTTGTGTGATTTTGCGCAAGCCCCTCTTGTGAATTGTACTTATTGTCGCTCACGTCTCTCTCTTGCGCCATGTGTGTTTCCACGACAGGCGAGTTTGACAACGCCGGTGCGATGATGAGTGTGGATGAGAGCCTCATGTGCTCGTTCCAAATTCTCAAGCCCGCGGACAAGAAGAACAAGTACTCGAGCTACGGCCGCTTCAGGAAATGAGGACCGGCCCGCTGTGGTCCCTCCTGTATCGTTGTTTGCTTGATCGACCTTTGACCGTTGGCTTCCGTGCTCCGTCTGTTTGTCCCCGTATTGACTAGTTGTCATGAACACGCCGTTCTTGGCGTAGCCCCGCTCTCCCTGTTTCTTCTCTCTTTGTCGTTGTTTTGCTTTTTGCTCCCCGTGGTTTGTTTGGTCGTTTGGTTGGTTGTTTGAGTGATGTTGTTTGGTTGGTTGTTTGGTTCTTTGTGTTATTCACACAAACAGCAAGGGATGTACCCCTCTTGTCGCTCCCCATCTCAAATCCGTGGACTGTGCCTGCGCCCGCGTGTCTTGTCTTGTCTTGTCTTGTGTTGTGTTGTTTTGTTTTGTTTTGTTTTGTTTTGTTTTGTCTTGTCGTTGCCGTCTTACACCCCAGCTGCTGTCCATGTTGGACCTATTGCCTGGCATCCACGCTTCTCGCGGGTTGTTCCTTGCTGACCTCTCTGTTGACATGAGGTTGGTGCGCCTCCCATGTCTTCATTCTCCCGCATTTTTGTGTGTGTTTGCTTCGTTTCTTCTTACCAGGCCGTGCTGCCGCATGCTGTTGGTGTTTGTGTCGTCGCTGGTGCTTGCTTGTGCCGGTGTTGGGTTGGTGCTGGCTGTCTCCTTCTCTTCTCGCTCGTGTTTTGGTTGCGGCTTGTGGATCGAGCGGGTGGCGCATGTGCACGCACACATGCTTTGTTGTTTTGCAGATGGGTGCAGTGAACACTAAGTGAAATGTCCGAGTGAAGTCATGTCAACTGAAGTTGTTCCCAGTGATACTTGGTGATGTGATGTGACGTGGTGGCTGGCGACCAAGGGAGGGAAGGAGACAGGAAGGGAAGGGGGGGAGGGCAAGCAGCATGCATAGACGAGGCAGTGCCGCCTCTTCTTCACTTCTTCGCTTGTCAGCCACGCAAAAAGCACCAGCAACTGCACAGCAACAGCAGGTGCAGGATTGCTGATGCGATCGCTTGTCATCATGTCACCAAGGACGTTCCTTGGCTCGACGAAGAACATTCCACAACCGCTGCGAATGCAGACAATTGCTGAATATTTTGTAACAATATTCGCCGTCCGTTTTGTTGTTTTGGTTTGTCCATCCATCTCGCTCGCACGCTGGTGCTGATGTGTCCTTGCCCGCGAATGTGACTGACCGGGTGAAGTGCATTCGCCGATGTATGTGTGACACATCGTCGTCATCCATCCATCCATCCATCCATCCACGCACACGCACACACGCACACACGCAGGTGCACGCCATTGAGGTGTTTCTGATTCATTTCCCCGAACACAGCTTTACGCGCGTCCTCTTCCTTGCACGACTCAAGAGACTCACAAGCACCACACAAACGAACACGAACCACACAAACGAACACGAACCACACAAACCAAACGAACCAAACGAACCACAAGCAAGTGAGCAAGTGAGCAAGCATTTGTTTCTTTCAACGGACATTCAGCGCTCACATCATACAACAACAACAACAACAACAACAACAACAACAACAACAACAACAACAACAACAACAACAACAACAACAACAACAACAACAACAACAGCAACAGCAACAGAGTCTGCTTCAAACCAATCCTCGTCCCTCTGTCCCTCCTTGCCCCGACATTGGCATCGCATCTCGCTCCCCGAGACAAGTGACGAGCAGCGCCAACTAGCTACAAGCACCCAAGCCGTCATGTTTTCGTTCCAGAGGGCGGCAGTCGGCCGCCTCGCATGCTCTCGGGCGCTCGCGTACGGCAAGCAGGCCGTGGGCTTGGCGTTTGCGCGCACCTCTCGCGCCGCTTTGTCAGCGACATCCATCGCAGCACGCTCTTCCGCACCAACGCCGGAGCCAGAGCAAGCAGCCCCAACATCAGAACCCGCACCAGCCACACCTTTGCCCGAACATGAGACGCCTTTGGCCGCGCAGAAGGCGAAGCATAAGCGCTCGCCGCCACCGCCTTCCTCATCCTCGAGGGCAGCGAGCGACAAGCGCGCCCCGCGTTCTCCTTCGTCCTCGGCCGCATCATCTTCCGCCTCCTCCTCGACTTCTTCTGCGAAGGCCAAAGCGAGAGCTGAGGCAGGTGCCACCACCGCGGCACAGAACACCGCGAAGATGACGGATGGGCCAAAGCACGGCGTGACACCAACGCCAACGGGCCCCTCTTGCCCGCTTGTTCCCTCGGACAAGGACGGCAACATGCACGCATCCCGCGACGTGCACGACAACCCGGACGTTGCCCGCTCCATCTTTGATGCCATGTGGCGCCGCTTGGAGAAGCAATTTGGCCGCCACAACCTGCACTTTCCAAAGGAGACCATCTTCCTGGTATGTGCGTGTGTGCGTGTGTGTGCGTGCGTGTGTGTGCGTGCGTGTGTGTGCGTGTGCGTGTGTGTGTGCGTGCGTGTGCGTGCGTGTGGGTGCGTGTGGGTGTGTGCGACAGCCTGCACGGATATTGCACATGCGCTGGCAAAGGGCAATACGACTCGTTATCTTGCCTGTCCTCACCTGCATGTGTGTGTGTGTGCCTGTGTGTGTGATGTTGACATGTTGTCTGCTTCTTTGCAGAACGGCGCACCCGGGAGCGGGAAGGGAACCATGGCCGAGTATCTGTGCAAAGACAGGCATCTTGTTCACATTGCGACATCAGACCTGCTCCAGGTACAACCACGCAATGTGTGTGTGTGTGTGTGTATAAAGATGGCTGCGGTGATATGGTGTGCTTGACAACCACACTGAATCCTTCGTCTTCTCTGCCATTCCGCACGACCTTACCCCTGAATCCCCCTCCCCCTCCTCCTGCTCCTGAACACTTGGCCACGCTCCTGTTTCCACCACCACTGTCACGACAACCACCTTGATCAACAGAGCCCGCAGATGCTTGAGATGAAGAAGAAAGGCAAGCTGGTTGATGATGGTGAGGTGTTCTTCCTCCTCGCTCGAACCATGCTCCAGCCAAAGAACAAGTTTGGCGTCGTTGTCGACGGCTTTCCCCGCACCAGAGTGCAGGTCAGGCACGCAGCGTGAAGATATGTGTGTGTGTGTGTGTGTGTGTGTGTGTGTGTGTGTGTGTGTGGAGGGGGGTGTATGTGGGTGTGGGTGGGTGTACGTGTGGGTGTGGGTGTGGGTGTGGGTGTGGGTGTGGGTGTGGGTGTACGTTTGGGTGTACGTTTGGGTGTATGTGTCAATAGCAGCAACCCAAGGTGCCGTACACACTCCGTCTCACATCACATGTCGTGCTGCTGCTGCTGCTGCTGCTGCTGCTGCTGCTGCTGCTCTGCCTCATTGCGCCTTTGGCCAGGTGGAGTGCGTGAAACTGTTGCACGAGAAGATGATTGAACTGAACCGCGAGTTCCACAACACCGATCTGAGCGAGCACTTTCCCCGCCCAAAGTTCCACATGGTCATGCTGTACATCGAGGAAGAGGTGTGCGTTTGCTCTGCGCGTGTATGCTTGTGTGTGTGATGCTGTGTGTGTGGTGTTTGCATGTATGTAAGCATGCGTACAAACAGTTTGTGTACAACACATGCGAGCTGGCACCTGCGACTGCCCTTCGTATCTCCCTTCTCACAAGTGTTCACGTTATCTGTGTGCGTGTGATGTGTGCGTGCGTGTGTGTGTGTGTGTGCGTGTGTGTGTGTGTGTGTGTGTGTGTGTGTGTGTGTGTGTGTGTGTGTGTGTGTGTGTGTGTGTGTGTGTGTGCGTGCGCGTGTGTGCTCGCGTTAACGCCATTTCAGGAGAGCATCAAGCGGCAGATGATTCGCGGAGCAAAAATTGCGCTCCACAACGACATGGTGCGGTGGTGGTGATCGTGATGTGTATGTGTGTGTGTGTGTGTGTACGTGTGTCTGTGTGTGTCTGTGTTCATGTACGCGCTTTTGTTGTACTTGGCAATGGTTCGCTGCAGCTCCTGACACGGCCCTAATCACGCAGTACACACTTTTCTGCACACTTGCGCACACATGATCCACACGCACTACACACACTTCTGCACACACACACACACACGACACACACACACGACACACACACACACACACACACACACACACACGTGCGATTACAGGTGCTCAAGTCTGGCGAGGGCGAGGTGAAGGAGGCGCGAAACACAGACCAGAACGACCAGCTCGCACGCGAGCGATACAGAATCTTCAGGTGCGCTTGTTGCGCTGCATGTTAATGATGCATGCGTGCATGCGTGCGTCTGTGTATGTGTGTGTGCATGTTTGCGGCCTCTTGCTCTCTTGTGCTCCCACTTCAACTCACACACACACACACGCACACACACACACATACACACACACACACATTCCTGCAACATGTGCAGGGAGAATGGGTACGAGCCGCTGAAGACGCTTCGTAGTTTCTTTAACTATCACTTCATTGCTGCCGACGGCACCGTCGAGGAGGTGCGCAAGCGCGTGGAGAAAGAGTTCCAATACCAGAGCTCGCTCGAGTTGCAAGACAGCACATATGAAGTGTTGGACACGCTGCCACGCGCTGAGGACTTGACAAAGTTTTACCGTCAGACGCTCGTGAAGGACCTCGACGACTTCCAGGTGAGCCATGTTTGTTTGTTTGTTTGGTTTGTTTGTTTGTTTGGAAGTGTTTGGAAGTGTGTATGTGTTTGTGTGTGTATATGTGTGCGCGTGTGCTTATGTTCCTGTGTAGCGGTCAGCACAGTCATGTCAAGCCACACACGGACACAAATACACGTCCACACACATACACACACACACACACTTATTCCCACCATCACTGTATCTCCACTCACATTGCATTGTGCTGTTCATCCCTCTCCTTCCTTTCCCTCATTCCCTCGTCTTCGATAGGCGCGCCACCCGAAGCTGCTGAAGCAGGTGATCCAGGTTGTGCAGTCTGAGTTCTTCCCTCAGATCCGGCTGTGCACGAGCAGCGGACACGTGCACGTGCGCACAGACAACGAGATCTTCTTCGCCCACAAGAAGGCGCTGAAAATGGCCATTTGCCTCCTCAGCGAACGCGGCTTTGAGGTGAGCAACAGATGCATTGTGCTTGCACGTGTCTCAATCCTGCAACTGCTTCGAACCGCCACACGCACATCTGCACACGCATGTGGCAAAGACACACAAACACACGGAGAGAGAGAGAGAGAGAGAGAGAGAGAGAGAGAGAGAGAGAGAGAGAGAGAGAGAGAGACTCACTCACACACACACACATACACACACACACACACACACCACGCCACAGGTGTCTGTGAGCCGGGAGAGCGAGCGCGAATATCACAGCGTCGATCCCGACACACACGAGCTGCTCTATGACGTGAAGCAGTCGTATGTGTTTGAGATTGGTTTCCCAAAGGCAACCATGTAATTGCTGCCTCAGCAATCAACCTTCTTGCAGAAGTGCAAAATTGCCCGAATGAACCCCCCCCCCACCACCACCACCACCACACACACACACACACACACACACACACACACACACACACACACACACACACACACACACACACACACACACATCTCCCATGTTGACGTTGAGTACCTGACGATACATGCACGCGCACACGCACACAGTAAAGGCACTTGAGTTGTTGTTCGTGTCAGTCTTGATCGTGTTTCCTCGACACCGTTTCGTGTTCACTCCTGCCCGTCCCGTCGTTGCGCGTGTTGTCTGGTTCCTGCATGTCTGTTTTTGTTGTCTGTGTTGTTGTTGTTTTCTGTTGCCTATCGACACACTTGATTGCAGCACACCACAGCACCGCGGTGTCGTTGTGCTTTTGCAAGTGCTACTGAACCCCCGAATAGTTGACTTCTCCCGCCTTGTTCCTTTTTGCGTCAGTTCACTGACGGTGCAGGTTTGCTGCTTGCTTCCCTTTGCCAAGCCAGTTGTTGGTTTCGTTTTGTTGTTGCTTTATGTGTGTGGAGGATTGATTGAACCCAAACAAGGCCCATGCGTTGTTGTCAGCAGCAGACAGACAGACAGACAGAGCATGGCGGCTGATGCATGCAAGCAACAGACGCAATCAACCACACGCGTGAACACAGGGCGGTTATGTGGTGGAAGGGAAGAGGAAAAGCGACACACACACACACACACACACACACACACACACACCAACAAGCAGCGCATTGGCATGGGAGAGTGGCGGTGGTGTCAGCGCAGAGTAACAACAAACCGCAAACACGTGAAAGAGACATGACACGAAATAGAGGAGGAGAGGGAGGGAGAGGAGGAGGAGGAGGACAAGAAAAGAAGGGTGATGTCACACCAGCAAGCACGCACGTACGCAAGCAAGCCGTTGGTTCAGACGTTGCCTGCAAGCACACAGCGTTCACCGACACGTGACATGATGCACGCTGCAGCAAGAAAAGACACAATGTGGCGTGCTTTGTTGATCCGTGACAGCGCTCACTTGGAGCGGTGTTGCTTGATGTGGTTGATGAGGCCGTTGGTGGAGGCATCATGCGTGGACACCTGGCCAGCACCCTTCAGCTCGGGGAGAATCACCTTTGCAAGCTGCTTGCCAAGTTCAACGCTGACGATGGCAGCGGAAAAGGGATGGGGAGAGGGGAAGAGGGTGAGAGGGGGACGGAGAAGCGTTGAGAAGGAGAGAGAACACAGCATACACACACAAACACACACAGAGACACACACACACAGCAATATATGCACACAGACACAGACACAGACACAGACACAGACACAGACACAGACACACAGACACACAGACAGACACAGACACACACACCCACTCACCCCCACTGGTCGTAAGAGTTGATGTTCCAGATCCAGCCCTGGGTGAAGATCTTGTGCTCGTACATGGCTGGTACGCGACAGGACACAGTGGTGTGGCGGTGCAGGGTGAGGGAGGGAGGGGGGACAGGATGGAAGGGGTCAAGCAGAGGCAAATCGAAACAACATTCGCATTCACACAGCTACACCAGCAAGCACGCAACCAAAACAACAATGCACACACCGATGAGAGCGCCGAGGGTCTTTGGTGTCATTTTCTGCACGACAATGGAGTTTGTGGGGCGGTTCCCTTCGAACACCTTGTGCGGCAGAATCTTCGCCTTCTTCGCTGCAGGCACACCAGTCTTCTCAAGCTCCTCGTCTGCCTCGCCTGCAGTCTTGGGTGTGTGTGTGTGTGTGTGTGTGTGTGTGCGTGTGTGTGTGTGTGTGTGTGTGTGTGTGTGTTTGTGCGTGTGACGTGAGTGTGTGTTGTGTGTGTGTGTGTGTTGTCTCTCTCTCTCTCTGTCTCTCACTCACTCTTTCTCTCTCACCCTCTCTCACACACTCTCTGTAGGTGGGTCTGCACAAGCGTGTGTGCTTTTTCACCTTTCCGCGCATGAGGGCCTCCGTCTGTGCGAGGAAGTTGGCGAGGAGGATCTGATGCACAATTACAGTGGTGTTGAAGGGTGAGATGAAGGATAGCAATGCGTGCATGCAAGCACAAAAGAACAAAGAGCCACCGTCAGCACAACCAACACACACACACACAACCAAACAAGTACAAGCACAAGCCAATCAAAGCAAAGCAAGCCAAGCCAACTGCAAATCAAACAGCGCTGCGTACGGAGTGGTGCTCGCCGCCAGCAATCGAGTTGTGTGTATCGACGGGAGCAATGAAATCTGCAGGGACGAGCTTCGTGCCTTGGTGGATCAGCTGTTGGCAGTCACGGTGGCGGTGGTGGCGGTGGTGTCAGGGTTCGTGCAGTGCAGTGCAAGTGAGCATGTTAGAGCAATGCGTATGAGACGAGTGTCAACCATACACACACACGTACTCATCATGTGTGCACATCTCCCCTTCGTTCCTTCAATCCAACAGCACCTGGTAGAATGCGTGCTGGCCGTTTGTGCCGGGTTCGCCCCACACGATGGGACCCGTGGAAACGGAAACCTTCGACCCGTCGCGCGTCACGTATTTGCCGTTGCTCTCCATGTCGCCCTGGTGGGGAGGACGATGAGGGTGATGATGATGATGATGATGATGATGATGATGATGATGATGATGATGATGATGATGATGATGATGATGATGATGATGATGATGATGATGATGATGATGATGATGATGAGGAGGAGGAGGAGGAGGAGGAGGAGGAGGAGGAGGATGGTGGTGGCGGAGAAGGGTTGAGACAACGATGGGTTCATGCGACATACACACACACACACACACACACGCTGCACCTGCTGGAAGTATGCAGCAAAGCGGTGCATGTACTGGTCGTAGGGGAGGAGGGCGTGTGTCTGCGCGCCAAAGAAGTTGTTGTACCAGATGCCAAGCAGAGCAAGCACGACAGGCACCTGCAGAGTACAACGCGGCGCAAAGCACAATTGGTAAACGTGGTGGTGGGAGCAGTGTGTGAAGGCACTGCTGCTTCGCCTTTTTCTGCTGTAACAACAGCTGCAGCGACACACAGACAGAGACACAGAGGCAAAAACGCACGCACGCACACACACACACACACAGACACACACACACACACACACAAGACCACGACGATGACCGTACGTTCTGCTCGAGCGGGGCCGTCTTGAAGTGCTGGTCCATGGCGTGCCCGCCGGCCAGCAGCTCAGCAAAGTTGTCAAAGCCAACATACAGCGCAATTGTCATGCCAATGGCAGACCACAGCGAGTACCGGCCACCAACCCACTGGCACATGGCGGCGGGTTGACGTGGGATGACGTGGAATGGTGCATGTGCGTGTATGTGTACATGTGAATTTCCGTGTTGAGGAGGCATTGTGCACAGGGTTGTGAAGGAGTGTTTATGTGGTGTGTGTGTGTGTGTGTTGGGTGAGCGAGTGACGTCAACAGCACTGCGTGTGCGCGTGGATGGTGTGATTGGCAGTTATTCTGAGAGAAGAAAAAAAAAAAAAAAAGACACGACTGCCCACGCTGCGGTGCTTGTACTCACGTCCCAGAATTCGAACATGTTGGCCGTGTCAATGCCAAATTCGGCAACTTTCTCCTGCGAACACGTGAGGTAATGATGGTGGTGGTGGTGGTGGGGAGTGAATAAGGAATGGGGAGAAGGAGGAGTGAAGAAGTTGTGGACATAGTTGCGACACGACACACAGACATACAGATAGACACTCACACCCACCTTGTTGGTGGAGAGGGCGATGAAATGCTTTGCGATGTGCGCGTGGTCCTTTGCGGTCTCGAGGAACCAGTTCTTCGCCGTCGTTGCATTCGTGATCGTCTCCTGCGCACGTACATGTGTTTTGCGGGTTGAGGAGTGAGCGAAGATGCGCAAAAGAATGTGACTCAAGAAAGAAAGAAAGACAGAAAGACAGAAAGACAGAAACAAACAAACGCACAACTATACATACAAACACACAAATATACAAACAAACAAACAAACAAACAAACAAACAAACAAACAAGCAAGCAAGCAAGCAAACAAGCAAACAACACAACACAACGCAACGCACCTGGGTGGTGAACGTCTTGCTGGCGACGACAAAGAGGGTGGTCTCTGGGTTGACCTTCTTCAAGGCCTCAGCCATGTGCGTACCGTCGATGTTGGAGACAAAGTGCACGTTGATGGGCCCGCCAAACGGCTTGAGGGCCTCCGTGACCATGTACGGACCAAGGTCTGAGCCGCCAATGCCAATGTTGACCACATCCGTGATGGCCTTGCCGGAGTATCCCTTCCACGCGCCGGACCGCACGGCCTCCGTAAACTCCTTCATGTGGTCAAGCACCTGTTGCAGTTGGGTTGGTTGGTGTTGGGTTGAATGTGAGGGAAGACAAGGGCAAGTGGGGGTGTCGCAGGTGGTGAGAGCATGCGTTGCATGCATGCTTACTTTACAATCACACTCACACACACACACACACTCACTCACACACTCACACACTCACTCACTCACACGCATACGCAATCGCACTCACACACACATGCACACACGCATACACAATCACACTCACACGCAAACGCAGACGCCTACCGCGTTGACGCTGGGCATGACGTCCTTGCCGTCGACAAGGATCGGGGTGTTGGAGCGGTTGCGGAGAGCAATGTGGAGCACAGAGCGGCCCTCCGTGAAGTTGATGGGCTCGCCAGAGAACATCTTGTCGCGGCCGGCCTCGACGCCGCGCTCGCGAGCCAGATCAAAGAGCAACTTCATCGTGTCCTTGTTCACGCGGTTCTTGGAAAAGTCCACCAAAAAGTCGCCCTCGCCAAAGTCAAGCTTCAGACTGTGATGTGTTGTGTTGTGTGAGTGAGTGAGTGTATGTGCGTGTGAGTGAGTGAGTGTATGTGCGTGAGTGTACGTGCGTGTGCGTGTGCGTGAGTGTGTGTGTGTGTGTGTTGCAGTGCAATTGTGCACAGTTTGTGTGTTGTTGTAGGTGCCTTTTTTCAGTGAACAAGAAACCCACAGAGCGATCGAACAAGCGACCGCGGAATGCAAGCGCACCTAAAGTCCTTGAAGCGCTTGGCGTCGGAGGCGAAGAGCTCCCGCATGTTGAGGGACTTGCCCACGGTGTCATAGTGCTCCTGCAGAGCCTTCCAAGCAGCAGAGTCCATTCTTGGTGGTGGTGGTGTTGTTGTTGTTGTTTGTTGTTGTTGTTGTTGTTGTTTGTTGTTGTTGTTTTGACAAGGCGTGCAACAGCAGGCTGGCCGGCTGGTGGAGAAGAGTGTTTGATGTGAGTGTCAGCGACAGTGGGACGGCGGGTGAATGATGACGACGATTGAAGCGATGTGCGGGAGTGAGAGAGGGATGGCAGCGCGCAGTGAACGGAGAGAGAGAAATGCAAACAAAACACCAACCAACCACTTCAGAACCATGAGCAAGAGAGCAAGCAAGAAGCGTTCGTTCGTTCCGTTCACTGACGAGTTCTGATGGCGATGGAAAGGGAGGACGGCACAATCAGTGAAAAGGGAAAAATTGACTTTCGCCAAAGGCAAAATTGACCACGGCGCAGCGGATACAACCACACGGCAAAGTGGAGCAAAGAAGACATCGCTCACGACACACACACACACACACACACACACACGAGCACACACACAGACACACACACACACACACACAGACACACACACACGCACACACAGAGACACAGTTGAGGATGGGGTTGCGGTTCTTCTTGCTTGTGAACAAGCAAGGGCAGACGCGTGTTGCACAGTACTACCAGTACCGCGATGTGGAGACCAGGGTGACAAACGAGGCGGAGATTATCAGAAAATGCCTCGCACGGACAGAGAAACAGGTCCGCCAACACCTTGCTTGTAATTGTGTGTGCGGGGGAATGTGTACGCTGCTGCTTCTCGTGCTTGTGCTTGTGCTCTTGCTTGTGCTCTTGCTTGCGTGTGTTGATGTTTGTTCACCAACGTACATCGTGTGCTGTGTGTTTGGTTTTGTAGTGCTCGTTCATGGAGTATCGGGGCTTCAAGCTCATCTTCCGACGATACGCTTCGCTCTACTTCATCGTTGGCGCCGACAACGACGAGGTGCGTTGTCACTGCGATGTTGACGTTGTTGTGTTGTGCTGTCACACACGTCCGATCGTTGCACGTGGTTGAGTGGTTGCTGCGCAGTTGAGTGGTTGTTGCGCAGTTGAGTGGTTGTTGCTGCACCAGATTCACCCGCTTTTTTTTTTTGTTGCACCCCTTGACACTCCAGAACGAGCTGGCCATTCTGGAGTTTATTCACATGGTTGTGGAGACGATGGACCAGTACTTTGAGGGCGTGGTAAGGGATGTGATCTGTGGCTCTGGGCGTGCGACTGTAGTTGTGGGCGTGTGGCTATCGTTGTGCGTATTCAACTGTGCCTGTTTTGCTGCTGCTGTGTTTGACGCACATGTGTGCGTTTGTGTGTGGAATGCTGCACCTTTGTTTGCTGCGTGTTACCCCATTACACGCACTGACCGTCTGGCTTTGTGGGTGCACATCGGTTTGGGCACCATTCCATGGGCCGATTCGGGACCACCAGTGCGAACTTGATGTAAGTTGTAGTGCTGCACTCGCATGTGATGGTGGTTCAGCGAGAGCTGCGCAGTATTTGTGCGTGTGTGTGTGTGCGTGTGCGCGCGCGTGTGTGTGTGTGTATGCACGCGCCTGTGTGTGTGCGTGTGTGTGTGTGCGCGCGCGCGCGTGTGTGTGTGTATGTGTGTGTGTGTGTGTGTAGTTTCTCTTTGTGGTGTGCATTCGTTTGCAGTGTGTTGGTTGCGTGGTATGCTCTTTTTTGTGCGAATGCGCTCTCCCCCTCCCCCGCTGACTTTGTTCTCATGACCACATGTGCAGATTATGTTCAACATTGACAAGGCGCACTTCATCCTGGACGAGATGATTGCCAACGGAGAGATTGTGGAGACAAACAAGACACGCATCATTGCTCCCATCAGGGTCATTGACAAAGTCGACAAGCTCAGCAGCTGAACTCTTTGCACGCGTCATCGCTTTGCTTTGCTTGTTGTATGCGTGATTGTATTGGTGTGTGTGTGTTTGTGTGTGTATTGTCTGGAATGTGTGTGTGTGTGTGTTTTGCTTGTATGCGTGATTGTATTTGTGTGTGTCATGTGTGTAATGTGAGTGTGTGTGTGTTGAATGTGTGTGTGTGTGTGTGTGGTTGTGTGATTTACTGTGATTGCGTGGGTGTTGTGGAATTGTTGTGTTATTGCGAGTGTGTTGTGTGTTGTTTTGCTGCAACTCGATTTCACATCCTGTCGCATGTTGATTCCACGTTGTGCCCCTCTGCCTTTACCACACCCTTTGTCTTCCCTCATCCTCATCCTTCACTTCCGACGCTCTCGCCCTGCACTGGTGTTCACGTTACGGTCTAGCTGATAGATGGTGTAATCAACGCCTGCTCCACCTCTCTTTCGTGTCTCTCAGCAATACACACCACGCGGGCCCTTACAGCTCAGTCAAACACACATACAAGGCAGCGCGAGACAGAGAGACGGAGAGACAGGGACAGACAGACTAAGACACACACACACACACACACACACACACGATGGCACTCGCCCAGACTTTGCACGGCAGACCGCTGTTGCGGTGTATGTAACAAGCTAGCAAGCAAGGCAATCAGTCATGATGACAGACAAATCAAACAAGCAAGCAACAAGCGGAGGGGAGAAGGCAACAAGTTGGAGACGACGGCAGCAGCAGTCGAGGACGAGAAAAGGGAATTAGGGAAGCAGAGGAACAGGCAAACATGGGTACGACGGTGTGGACAGTCATTGCGACGGGTCAATTATCTTGGGTGTTAGTGCGCATCTGGCAGGCGCTCAATGGTGAACCTGTCACGTGGTCATGGTGGGATGAATGGTGTGACAAGGGCGTGACGAGGGTGGGACAGGGGTGTGAGCATGAACGAACCAATTCAAGGCAAGGAGGAGGAGGTGGTGGTGGCGCAAGCTATGGCAAGTTCAAGCACACACACACACACACACACACACACACACACACACAACACACACACACACACACACACACACACACACACACAAACACACACACACACACACACACACACACACCACATCACACACGGACACTCACTTGCGCTGTGCGATGAACATGATGGGGACGCCCGGGATCTTGCGGATCCGGCGCTTCAAGTCGCGATCGCACGTCGCTACAATGTAGCACTTGTGCTGCAGAGGCAGAGGTACGCATGGTGAAGAGGGGAGGGCACGGGGCGTCAGTACATCAAAGGTAGCAAGAGAACGGGGTGTACATGACACACTTACTCATGCGCTCCCTCATGCACACACACACACACATGGCACGCACGCATGCACTCACGCACACACACACACACAGACACAGACACACAGCGCACATGGCACTCACATAGACACACACTCACGCACGTGCACACATGATTTTCTGACCTGTGAGACGCGGTTGACGAGGCAGTCATCGGCGTATGTGCCCTTGTGCATGCACGGCAGCCGCTTGAAGCGAGGATCCTTGGCAACCCTACGCAATAGTTACACACACGCACACACACACATGTGAGCTGAAGGAACGAGAGGAACTGGAAAGAGTGGCAGCGTTGGACCTCGGAGCGAACATGCGAACACACACACACACACACACACACAAATGCAGGCATGCAAACACACACACACACACACACACAAATGCAGACATGCAAACACACATGCACACACACACACGACCGCATGTGCACAGCAAACGCACTTGAGGGCGATGCGGTATTTCCGTCCAAGCTTTTCCAACTCTGCCATGACGCTGTGTGTTGTTGTGAAGCAAACATATGCACGTGGTGATCGTGGTCAGAACAGAGATGGCATCTTGGCTGAAAACAACAACATACAACTGAACTGAACCCTTCCCAGACGCACACCGCTGCCACCATCATCATCATCATCATCATCATGACCAGCAACCGTAACGCCCATGACATGTGCGCCTCTTTCTATAGATCGCACCAGTCTGTGATGCAAGGGATGCACTTTGCGAAGAGACAGTCCATGCTGGCTTGCAAGATGTCCAGCTTGTTCTGCAACGCAAAGTTGATAAAGTTGGTATCTGCAAGATAGGGGGGCAATGATGAGTGGGCAGCGATGCGCGCAGGGAGATCAGATCAATGGGAGAGGGAAGAACACTGAAACAAGCGGCTGCGCAATCCACAGAACCCGCGATACAGCGTGCAGCGGTACACCGTGCGCCATGCAACGGTAATGGTCTACACCATCAACACACATGCACACGCACACACACGCACATGTACACGCACACGCACACGCACACGCACGCAGACGCACACGCACATGCACGTGCACGCACACGCGCGCACGCCACCAAACCATCTCCCCTCTTACCGATGAGGATGTGGTATGGAGGGCCAAGCTGTGTGTTGTAGTGAAAGTAGAGGGCGCTGGATGCCTGTTCATGTCTGCTGACGCGGCCCATCAAGGCCTGTGCTACTTGCTGTCCATGTGTTCCCGCACTCTTCTTGCCGCCAGCCTTCTTCTTCTTCTTCAAGCCTTCTTGCTCCAGCTGCTTCTGTTTCTCCTTGGCAGAGATCATGCGTTTCACAAGCGCAAAGCGCTTTGTCCTCTTCATCTTCCCCATGGCTGTTGGTGTGCTCGGTGTGGTGCGTGGTGCGTGTGCTTGATGCTGGTGGATGTGGTGTGCTGGATGCTTGTGCTGCTGCTGTCGCTTGTCTTTGCTGCTTGTGCTTCTTTCCCTTTGCTTCTTCCCACACACGTGTGTTTGTGACGCTGAATTCAGGCTTTGGTGGCTTGTCAAGGTCGAAATTGACGTGGGCCACGAGACAAAGGCAAGTTTGACCTTGTCAACTTTGACAGCTCCCCACACATGCGAGCGAAAAGAGGGTGGTGTGTGGCGCAGAAATTATCGCCACTGCCTTTTTCTCCGCACGCAGCCGACAGCCACCCTTCTCCCCTTGCTTCCAACACAGGTGCGTGTGCGTGGTGTGGCAGCAGCGGATATGAGGAGATGAGACGTGCTAGATGATGTGCACGCGTGTGTGTGCACGCCGGCGTGAGCAAGCCGCAGCTCGCCCACGGGCTGCCTGTGCACACACGAGCACAGTTGCGCCAGATGTGATAGCGTTGTGGTGTGCGTGCGCGTGTGCGTGCGCGTGTATGCGCCAATGCAACCACACGTGAAGCAAGGCAGATGAAACGAGAGACATGATGGCGTGATTGATGCCGCAGCCAGCGGATGAGGAGAGCAAGCAGCGTGCACGCGACAGCGGTGGTGGTGGATGGAGCGGGAAGATGTGTGAACAGATCAGCCGCAGGTGTGCCCACTAGACTTACACCATTAGCAGCAGCCATGTCAGGAGCATGATGACCACCACTCCAGCACTTTTCCAGCCACACACATACACATACACCACGTGCACACATGAAGAAGACCTGCATCGCAGCTCTGCACGACACGCACTCACGCGCGTTTGGATCAGCATCAGCTCTCAACACACATCAGAGAGGACGGGGCTGTCTGTGGCACAGTTGTAGTCTTGTATCATCTGTCTTCCACAGCACATCACGTGCGCCTCGTTTTCGCTCACACATTTCTCCCACCACTACTCCGTTCCTCGCTCCGTGCTTTACCTTGTCTCTGCCTGCGCCCCCTCTTCTTCTCTTCTCCCTTTCCTTCTGTTCTCTCTCCTCCCTTGTTGCCAACCACAGCCGACATGGGTAAGGACATCTGCCACAAGCACGACAGGAAGAGGCGCCGCACCGCGCCCGTGTCGGAGGACCCCTACCTCCGCCTCCTCGTCCAGCTGTACCGCTTCCTTGTTCGCCGTACCAACTCCAGCTTCAACAAGGTACTGGGCACCGTCGCGTTTGAGTGTGCGTGTGCGCGTGTGTAAGGAGGGGCGTACGCACTATTCGAAAGTAGTGTTGGAGAGTGCCAAAGAGAGAGAGAGTGTGTGTGTGTGTGCTGGAGTGTGTGTGTGTGTGTTTGCATGCGTTCGTGCGAAGCGAGTCATGCACGCGTAAGTGGAGTGGTCCGCCTTTACTGAACAGCAACCACACCGTCAGCTCTTAGGCACCTGTCGCCCTTGTTGTTCATCCTTTTGCAGCCAGCTGCTCACTTTTCGTTGCTGTGCAATGCTCGTGGCTCTGTCAACAGGTTGTGCTGAAGCGCATGTTCATGAGCAAGATCCACCGCCCACCAATGTCGCTGTCCCGCATCGTCCAGAACATGAAGGGCCGTGAGCAGCTCATTGCCGTCATTGTCGGCACTGTCACAGATGATCCTCGTATGCTCGAGGTGCGTGATGGCGGTTGTTGCGATTCTCGTTGCGGTTACTGCTTTGGTATTGTGTTTGGGCTTGGGCTTGCTGAAGCCACGTGACAGCGCATGCGTGTCTGTGGTGTATGTTGTGGCTGTCGGTTGTTGTCGTTCGTGGATGTTGCCGCTTCTCTGTGCTGCTTTCATCGTACATGCACTTGTTCCGCCATGACCATCCATCTCCCCTTTACCTTCCTTTCTCACGCTCCTGTCACCTCAACTCTTCCTACGTCCCACTCCCACCTCTCGTCATGCCCACAGCTCCCCAAGCTGACCGTGTGCGCTCTTCGCTTCAGCGAGACCGCCCGCAAGCGCATCCTTGCTGCCGGTGGCGAGTGCCTCACATTCGACCAGCTTGCTCTCCGCTCCCCCAAGGGCCAGAACACCGTCCTCATGCAGGGTGCGTCTGTATATGTCTGGGTTGATAGTTTTGCATTTGTGTGTGTGTGTGTGTTGATGCGTGTAGATGAGCGTGTTTTTGGTGTTTCAAAGTGTCGAGTGTGTGCCGGTCGTCTTCCCGCTCGTTGTCCTTTAGTGAAGCCGCATGTGCCCCCCCCCCCCCCACATAAACCCACTCACTATTGTTACTCACACAATCCATCTGTTGTCGTTTCTTTGCTCTGCCTGTGCCTTAGGTCCCCGCAAGGCTCGCGAGGCCGTCAAGCACTTTGGCCGTGCCCCTGGTCTCCCCGGCAGCCACGCTCGCCCTTACGTCCGCGCCAAGGGTGCGTTGATTGTTGATTGTGATGAGCGTGTGCATTTGTGTTTGGTTTGGTGTGCCGCTTTTTTGTGTGTGTGTGTGAGTGTGTGTACTTTCGTTGCTTGTGTGTGTGAGTGTGTACTTTCGTTGCTTGGTGGGCTTGGCTTTCGTCAGCTCTCTCCCTGCCTCCCTTTGCCTGCTGCTCTTCTTTTGAACACTGACACTCACACGCCTCTTACATGCAACTCCAACCACCCTCTGTCATTACCACCACCAGGCCGCAAGTTCGAGAAGGCGCGTGGTCGCCGTACCTCCCGTGGCTTCAGGGCTTAAAGAAGAAGCTCGCGGGGCTGCGTCTGGAAAGTGTACTTGGCTCGTTGGTTCATGGGGTGTGGTCGTTGGTTCCATCGTCTCTTTACGTGTCTTTGTTGTGGTGGTGGTAGTGCTGTATGCATTGCGCCACATTGCATGCACGTGTTTGGTGATGCCGTGCCGCCCACACCCGTTTTGTTCTCGACAAATATAAAGCGAACACCAAGCAACACGCAAGTTGTGGCAAAGAGAAAGAGGGAGAGAGTGTGTGTGTGTGTTTGAATGCGAACAAGTGACGAGTGATGTGTTTGAATGCAAACAAGTGACGAGTGCTTGTGTTAGCCTGCGACAGCAAACAAGCAACATGCTGGGTACTGTAATGATGATTGACATCAGAAGAGAAGTAACAATGTAAGCACACGGAGAGAGAGAGAGAGAGCCAGACACGCACACACACAACACACCTCACACACGCGCACGTACACTCACACTGACCCACCTGCCCATTTGCCCGTGCCGCCGCCAAAGGCTTGAAAACTTTGTTGGCGCGCATTGCCAACGAAAATTGATGAAAAATAAGCGCCAATATTCAGCAACCGGTTGGAGGTTGGCGCGAGATTTGGCCGTTACGCCGCGCAGATTTCGCAGACGCCAGCCAGCCAGCCCAGCATTCTTCTCCTTTGTTTTTCCAGCACTTGCCAGTGGTTACAAGCAAGCGGCACTGGTTGCAACCCATCCACACGCACCACGCACCGCAACCGGTGGATCGTGCGCATTCCTTCCCCTTCTCCCTCTTTTGCACCCCCACGTGCATGAGAGGGGCTCATTTACCCCACCACCCTTCCAAAGAGAAGCTCGCTGTGTGTGCCCACAGTCGCCAAGCCAAGCAAGTAAGCGAATACCAAAAACCACTGAGATCACTACCTCCCCTCTCTGCCATCGACACCTGCTCTTGTCTCTTGCTCGCAAGAACAAGGCAGTGTTGCGCACTGAGCTGGTAGCTGCATCATTGACGTGTGAGGCGATACCAAAACAAGGCTGTGTTTGAGTGAGCGAGTCGGAGTATACTTGATTCAGGGCGTGTCGAAAGACCAAAGAGCTCACTGTCCCCTGAGAAAGACGCTTGAAACGCACATCCACCCCACACGCCTAGCTCGCTAGCTGTTGTGGACGGTGTTGCTTTGTCTGGAGGGGTTTTCATCTGTTGCACGAGAACCGATATCGAGGGATCCTCGCAAGAAGAACCCTCTCCCCTTCCATTTTCAACGCGCGCTGAGAGTCGCACGTTCCATTGTTCGCATCATCATCACAACTCATCATCTGCGGTTTTTCCCCCCATCCGCGTTTGTTCCCTCTCCCTTCTTACCCTGCCTCCACCTTTCCAACCTCCCCTTCACAACCAAGCGCCCACTGCTTGCTTCACACGCGCGAGCGTGCTGAACCTGCTGTTGGAGTGTGTGTGCGGCGGCGACGGCGGTGGCCACCTGTCTTGTTTGAGCAACTCCCCCTGTTCTTTCCTTCCTTTCGATCGAAACAGGGCCAAACTCTCTCAAACCTCGACGGTTCTCAGCGAAACACAGCATCCCCTTAGATCAGGGCACCAGCAGAGCTACCTCTTCTAACCCTCTCTCATCACCGAGCCACTCTCACCCACCATCACCTTTCCCCCTTTACACCAATTTTCAGGTTGCACAACACACCCACATTGCACCAACACCCACACCACTGGTCACACATCTCCTTTATCACACGTTGCACAAGCACCAACCACGACCATTGCTTCTTGCGACCTGCTTGCATCATCGCATCCCACCCGACACGACGAATTTTTCCTCGCTCCTGTCCGGATCGGAACAACAGACAGCAACAAAGGACCAAGTTCATCAAGTTCATCAGCAGCAGCACCCCAGGCTCGTCCAAACAAGTTTCTTTGATCACATCAACGCATCACTCCTTTCCCGTGGGCAGCCAGTTGGTTAATTCGCGGCAGTCTCATTTCCCTCGACGCAACAGCAGCCCACACCCACCAGCCATGACGCTTCAGGAAGATACCCTGACCAACCGCATCTCCGCCGTGAACTCGCCGGCGTCGTTTGTTACAGGTCCACTGGACCCAGCACCCAAGCCCCACCACAACACAACCGTCACTGCCTCAACAACAGCAACACAGCAGCAAAAGACACAACAACAACAGCGGCCGCTATGGACGCCTCACGCATACTTCACACAGCGCGCCATCTCTGTTGACGACCGCGACCGCGCCTGCGCCGCCATGCAGCGCATCTGCAGCGCCCTCAGCCTCCCTCCCGCCGTCTCGGGCACCAGCTGCCTCCTGTTCGACCTGGTGCTCTCCAGCATCGAAGTCAAGGCGCAGCTCGTGCGCATCGTCTCCGTGGCCTGTGTGCGGCTGGCCGCCACCATGGAGCTCGGCGAGGACGCCCTCAGCGACGACGCACTGCTCCGTGCTGCTGCAGCCAAGTTCTCGTCAAAGGACCTACAGCGCATGGCGCGTCTCCTCACATCCAAGCTCCCTCCGCGGGCACAGCTTCCCCTCACAGCACACCACCTCATTGGCGATCTCGTGGCCGTCCTCGACCTCACCTCCTGCCTGAAGCCCCTGCGACAGCGCCGCCGCCGCAGCAAGCTCCAGCCACCGGGCGTGTCGGTTCTCCCCGCCATCCCGGAGGACGACGTGGTCGTGGACTTTGGTGCAGACACAGACTGCACCGCTAGCACCAGCGCCCTCGCCTCGCTGCACCACCAGGCGCAACAAGAAACCGAACAACAGCAACAGGCACAAGTTGTCGTTGACGTGGAAGCCCACCGCCAGCGTGTACTGGACATGGCCATGGCAAAGGCAGCCACGTACGGCCTGGCGTACAGCAACGTGTCCACGTGCTCCATCATTGCGTATGCGGTTGGCTGTGTTGCCAGCGCCCTGCACACGGAGTTTGGCCTCCGCGCACACGCCGTTGTCACTGCGCTTGAGACAGCCTCCAACGTCTCCAGCGAGGAGCTCAAGCAGGCCTCGTGGCTGCGCTGCCTCACAGAGGGCCAACAGTCGTCCACAGCCACTGCGCCGCCGTCATCGCCGTCGCCTCAGCAGACTGCACCCCCTCAGTCGCCAACAGCGGTGGTACCGCGCTCTCCCGTGTCGCCGCCATCATCTGCAGCGCCATCCCAGCACCAGCGGCCACCATCGCGTCTGTCGCCGTCCAGGCTGCTGTGCCGTCCATCCAACCCGACAACGTCGTCGTCGTCGTCGTCGTCACAGTCGTTGCCTTGTGCACCGTGCTCGCCGTCGTCATCGCCTCCGCTGCGTCACAGGAGGGCGCAGCTTGGACACAGAGGCTCATTTCGAAAAGTATGATATGATGGCTTCAACCTCAAGT